CACGCCAAAAGAGCCCGAAAAACCCACAACAACCATTAGATCCCGGCTGTGATAGCCTTTGCAAATACATTGAAACCAGATAGGTTGGAGTGGGATACCGCTGGAAGGTTCCCCCCGTTTTACGGCTCAGAGTCCCAAGAGATTGCTTTCCAGATAGTTTGGAGTGGGATTCCGAAGGAAGGTTCCCCCCCGTCTTACGGCTCAGAGTCCCAAGAGATTGCTTTTTTCCTCCAGGTATCAGTTTAACCCAGCCTGCTTCCAAACCACGGTGACTGCCCAGATCCTTCTGAAAGCACTGACCAACCTGCCCCACACAGACTTCACACTCTGCAAGTGTATGATTGACCAGGCTCGTGTATCCTTGATTATAATGGAAAAGTAGTGTCCGTAGAGGGTTGGTAGCCAACATATCAAGAAGTTCAGCTCTCTATAATTTTAAACATATAGTGGGACTCAGGAAAAACGTTGTGTTTTGTCTAGGGTATGGGTTTTTTATTTAAAAGTATTTCTGAGCATGTTTTCAGAGCTGTGTAAAAGATTTTGGGATAGACCAGTTAATGGCTTATTGCTCTCCCTTTCAAATATGTGTGCACAGAGAGGATAGTGCTTTTCCTCTTTCCCCAGAAGCACTTCCTGCCATACTGCTCTGTGTCTGTGTCACACATTTTCTGTCTTCAATGAAGCTTAGAGAGACGAAGGTGATGCTAGTGCTTTGATGTGGCTTACCGTAACTGAGAAAGGTGTGTGGGGAAAAAACATATTTGAGGGTTTATAGTCTAGTGCCAAAACAGCAAACGCTGGACTGCTTTGCCTGTTATCTGTATAGCTATGATATCTCAAAGATGTCTCGTCCGTGGGCAGAGAGAACTTCTTTCTTCAGTGGATTAACCCATTCTTGTCCTGAAGGCCTGGTGGATCGATGCCATTTGCTTCTTTCCTTAATGCTGTTTCTTTCAGCAAGAGGAGGAACCCATCTGTCAGATCTTATACCTGGGTGAGCTGCTGGAGACCTGCCATTTTCAAGCTTTCTGGGTGAGTCTCATGCCACTTTGCATTTATGTGTTTTGCGTTGATGTGCTCCATATGCTGTTTGCTTAATACAATCTGTGTATTATTTATTTTTAAGAGGCAATAAGGCAGTGCTTTTTTTAAAAAAACTGGCTCTTTGGGAGAGAGAGTTCATCTTGATAAGTGTCCTGATGTCACTATCTATCTTGACTGTTTAATTGTTGATGTTTTAAAATTGCATTTTGTGCCCCCCCAATTAGAAAGTACAGGAGACGTTTACAGTTTTGCTAACAGCAAAATCTCCTTGCTCGGCGTCCCCAAAATATGCCAGCATATTATAACATCTTCCATTTTTGTCCTTTTTAACAGCAAGCACTAGATAAGAACATGGATCTTCTGGATGGAATTACTGGTTTTGAGGATTCTGTAAGGAAATGTAAGTACCTCATTCTGCTCTAATATAATATTCTACTACTACCCTTTTATGCTAATATTACTTATATGTATCCTCTTTGAGTTAAATAAAAAGCTGCAGGGCTTTAGAGATTATACCTGTTGAACAAATGATAGACACACAAGGAAAAAATGACAGTAGCAAAACAGCAGGAAAAAAGGGGACAAAATGTTCAGCCCTTGAAAGGTGAGATCTGTTTACTGTGTGATGCAATGATGTGTTTAGGTGTCAAATAGAACCCACTTACTTGAGCTGCAATCGTAAGATGCATGGCATTAGCTGAAGGTCAACCTAACAGAGCTGCAGACGCAAACTAGGAGAGAGCATTCATGCAGCAAATAGTAAAAAAAAAATGTGCTTCCAGCTGTCCTTGTTTTGTTTTTCTGCTTCAGTGATGCAGTCCCGAAGGAGCGGTGGGCCCTTTACACACCATCCTTCTTAAACACTGTTGCCCTTGCCATGTATTCCCGCTCTGAAAAACTGGGCTACTTTCTGTGAGTCAGGAAAAGCACTTACTTTTCTATGCCTCCTTCAGTGCTGAAGGTCTGTTATGTTTCCTTTACAAAAACTAATGTCAAAAGCAAAAAGTATCAAGGCACTTTTAAGACTCATAGAAGTGCTTCAGGTGAACTTTTGGAGGTTACAGAACTGTTAACAGGACCCATTAAGTCTTCTTCTGAATCCTCGCTGTGGCTGGTGGCCCTTTTCCAGCACAAACCTCTCTCCCATCTTGAGCCAGATGCAAACTGTGGTTGGGTCCAAGCACTGCTGTCCTCCAACTTGGAAGCTGCTGGGCTTCACGGCCTTCAAACCATAGCTTTGAACCTGTCTTCTTGTCTTGTTGCAGTCATCTGTCACGTGGTGGGGATCACATACCAACACATTGACCACTGGCTACTGGCTAAGATGTTGGGGGATCTCTCTGGTGAGTGGCTATTTACATGGATGTATAATTCCCTTTCTCAACATAAGGGGTGCAGAAGAACGCTTACAATCAATTTTGAGATTACTTGCACTTGGTTCTTCCTTTCCCCTGAACCTTTTTCCATTCAGGCTCGTCGTCCGTTAAAACTTTGTAACAGCATGGAGCTTGTGTTGTTTTCCTCACACTGCCCCTTTTTCCTTGGGCATGTCCTTCGGACTTTAAGCCTGAGGGCAGGTACTGATTTGCTGCGCCTTTTTGAGCCAAAAGAATGTGATAAAAATGCCTTTGATAGATAAATGACAAAACTTTCCTCCTAGATAACTGAGAGCTTTTCTTTTGTTGCACGGCTGAAAGAGAAATATTTTTTATTTACAAAGGGGATCATTGGCTTGTGGAGTGTTGATGGAAAAGAAAAATTGTTAGCAGGGAATCACAAATATTTATGGTTGTTGTTTTTTCCAGAGATGGTACATGCAAGATTTTAACAATAATAAAGCTTGGAAATTCCTTTCAGTCTTTGCCCCTGAGGAAAGACTCCTCTTGGTAGTGGAACCACAATGGTGGAAACTGTGTCCACATAGACTTTCCCTACACCTGCTCTTATCATTTTCACACCAGGCAGGGACCGTTTAGAATCTTTTCCCTAGATCATATCATTCACTTGGTTTTCTACACTTGCAGTTCCACGTTGCTGCTCTTGAATTTTGCTGGTTTTTCTAGTAGGGCTGGTGTGTAGTTCACCAAGAACCAACCAGAAAACTAAACCATGCCAGAGGACAGGGAGCTACTTTATCTTGCCACGCCAGCCCCGCAACCTTCCAGGAACCCAGGCGCTGCATGTCCACATGCACCCCAACCCCCAGCTGGTCTGATTATAGGCAGAGACAGCAGGCCCAGCCCCTGGAAGGGAAGCCGGGCCACTGTCTCTTGAGGATGGGAGCAGCGGAGTAGGTGGTAGCACCCAGGCACAGAGAGGTGACAGGAGTTTCTTGAGGATGGGAGCAGCAGAGTAGGTGGCAGCACCCAGGCACAGAGAGGTGACAGGAGGGGGGTGGGCAGGCAGCTGTTTTGCCAAAGCAGAACAACAGGCCAAAGAGAAACAAGTTTGACGTTTTGTTTTGGCAAAACGGGTTACACAAACCGACTCACAGGCTGAACCACAAACCAGCCCATTTTGTGTTTGTTTGTTTCCCCTCCCCGTTTATTGTTGGGTTTGTGCCCATCTCTAATGGAATGCCCCCCCGTCCACATTGCTCTTTGTTGCAGACAATCAGCTCAAGTCTTGGATGAGCAAATACGGCTGGACCGAGAGCGAGCCGGGGACGATTTTCATCTGTAACCAGGAGGAAAGCATCAAGCCCAAAAACATTGTGGAGAAGATCGATTTTGACAGTGAGTGTCTTCTCTCTCCAGATGTCTTCCCCATCTTCCCACTTGGATTTCCTTTCTGAAAAGAAGGGGGAGGGGACTTCTGCCAAAGCTGTCTGTTCTCTGTCTGTGTCTTTGTCAGAGTAGCTCTTAAAGTCCTGCTTTTAGGAACACAGGAGACTACTTGGGCTGGGTCCAGTCACTGCTCTGGCTAGCCCCACATTGTCAGCCCTGGCTGGCAGCAGTGGTTTTCCAAGATTTTGGACAGGATTCTATCCTGATCCTTCCTGGGGGACCTGGTATTCACTTACTTCTGGTCTCCCTTCCAAACGTTAACCGGGCCCAACCTGGCTTATACGGATGAGACGGTACATTCAAGGCAGTATTACGATCCTCAGGCTCCTGGCTGCAGAAACGATAGTCCAGTGGTAGTGTACCTGCTTTCGGGAAAAGGTTGAAATTAGAGATGGGCACGAACTTCAGTTCGAAGGTTTGTGCCAGTTCATATGCTCGGCACCCTAGGTGCCTACATGTTCCCTTTCCCCGCTTTCCCAGCCACTGACCCACTTGCCAGTTGGAGGCATGCTCCTCTCTTCTTCTGGCTGTTCAACCAGCCCTGCCTCTTTGTCTTAAGTGAGCAAGAGGTAGGGCAGGGAGGCCAGAGCTCCTGCTGGAGAGTGTTCAAACAGCAGAGGAGGAGGAGGAGGAGAGAAGTGCGTGCTGGCTGTTGAGGGGGGAGGGAAGAGAATGGGCGGCACCCATGGTGCCCTGCGTACAAACTGGCATGAACCTCCGAACCGAGGTTGGTGCCCATCTCTAGTCAGGATAGCAGAGCTGAGGAAGACCCTCCTCTGCCTGGCCTGCCTGGATGCCCTACTACTGGTTTACACGAACCCCTGGTCTGACTCGGTTGAAAGTAGCATCACATTCTGAATTTCTTTTTGTTTTCTTCCAGGTGTGTCCAGTATCATGGCTTCTTCACAGTGAGGTGGCTTCTTCCAGTGACTTTTCCCCTCGTTGGCCGTTGCATTTCCCTTTAACTCTTCCTGTTTTAAGAGAATCTGGCCAATAAAGGATACTAACCAGCCTTTCTAGTGCTGCATGGCTGTGGCCTTCGTCCTGCCCGTGGGTGGGCTACATGATAGAGCACAGAGAAGTGTGAGTGGACTTCTAAGGGAGCCGGGAAAGCCTTGGCAGCCCATGCAGGAAAGGCAGGGAGGACGCTAAGGTCCTGAGTCCAAGGTAAAAGGGTCTAGTGACTCAACAGGGCGGTGAGAAGTTTTGTTGGGCAGGGCACAGTGGAGGCGGAGATACAGTTTATCCATTCATTCATTCATTCATTTAAAAATATTTTTACCCCACTGTTTTCCTTGAGAAGCACCTGAGGCAGCTTACATCATTAAAAGACAATATATAAAGCAAAAAATCAGTAAGTGTATGGATGCTGAAAAGGATCAAACAAATGCCACATTAAAAAAGAGTAAACAAAAGCCACCCCAAAAGCACATTCAAAGCAGTAAGGCACCACCATCCATTTAAAAAGCCCGCTCAGGCAGCCTGTTGCTCAGGGGAAGCCTGCCTGAAGAGAAAGGTCTTGGCCTGCTTGTGGAAGGACAGCAGAGATGGGGCCAGCCACTCAAAGGGCTGCATTGAGAAAGGACAACAGTGGGCCAGATCCGTTCATCTCTGAACCCACAAAATGGCCGCCTTCTTTTAATCTCTCTTTCTCTCTCTCCTGTGTGCGTTTAAGCTTGGGTACAGGAGATAAAAACTCCATCTCAGAGTGGCCTTGATCCCAGGGCTACTGGTTGTTGTTGTTTAGTCATTGTGTCCGACTCTTCGTAACCCCATAGACCAGAGCACGCCAGGCCCTCCTGTCTTCCACTGCCTTCCGGAGTTTGGTAAATTCATGTTGGTGGCTTCGATGACCCTGTCCAAATATCTCGTCCTCTGTCATCCCCTTCTCCTCCTGCCTTCACATTTTCCCAACATCAGGGTCTTTTCCAGGGAGCCTTCTCTTCTCACTGGTAGTAGGCCAGTGGTAGTAGACCTTTAATTTGAACTGCCGCTCATGCAACCCCCAGCGCTTAGCACCAGAACATGAATTGAGCTTTATGGACCCTGCTGCGTGGCAGAGCTACACGATAGCCATTTTAGCTGCAGTTTCGAAAAATGCAGTTCAAGGAGTCTGCGTCTATCTCCCGTGCTGGCCGTGCTCAGGCCGATGTTCAAATCCCTCATTGGCATTGCTCCCCAAGCAAGATTTGAGCCCTGTAGCCTTGTCTTCCTTGATAAGCTTCTGTCCCTTTATCTGGGGCTTTTAGTCCAAACAGGTGTCTCTGCGAGTCTGTCTTTAGAAGCAGAGCTTGCCTGAGAGCATGGTTACCCAAAGGCTACGAAACCCACTGCCAGATCTTGCACTCCTATATGAGGGAGGTTTCTGAACAAATAACTTTTTATTTTGAATGGGGGGGGGTTGTTAGTGAGCCCCACTTTGTCCGCCTCTGCTTAAGAAGTTCAATTTGTTTGTTTAATTGGTGCCTCAGCTTCATGGGAAACAAATTGGTTTGCTTTTCGTTCGGTGCTTCGTCATCAGGGGATCAGCCTGGACTTCGGTTGCACCTCTGATGGTACGACTGTGGCAGCTCTGAAGGTGGGAGATGTTCCATCATTCAAGTGCCAAATTGGTGCTTCTGCTAGTGCGCCCCTCTGGTCTTCTGAAACAGACTTTTATCGTCCGCCATCTTGTTGTTCTCATTAGCACCGTTAGATGGTGCTCAGGACCCAGCCTAGAGAAAGGGTCCTGTTGTGTTGAGTCAGCCAAGTTTTTTTGGTGGCAGAGAGCGCTTGTTGAAGGCCTCGCCCCCCTGACCAGCAGAAATACTAGTCAATCCCCCCCCTTTCCTGTGGGAAATGTGACCAGGTGTTCTCCCCACACCTTTGTAACCTATTGTTGCTCATCTTAAAAACTGGAAGCTTTGCAATAGGGATGTGTGCAGAAGAAAAGCTGCGCTGTGTTAGGTACAGCTGGAGGATTCTATGCCTGGAACAAATTACTGCCTCTGCAGAAGGGCAGTCAGAGAACAGACGTGCTCCTTGGCAAGCAATGTGTGTATTGCGGGAGCTACTGGTTCCTTACCAAGATGTGTGATTTGCATTTGCCTAACAGTTGTAGGGAAGGGAGAGAGGGCAGTGCTTCATCAAACGATGAAGAAGGGGGCTTGAGAGAGAAATCGGTGGGCAAATAGGAACTTTTCCATCTAAGTCTGTTTTCAGAGGATGACAGATCTGTTGAAGGCTGCAAGACCCTGTGAGAGAGAAGAGCAGATGAGGGAAGCGAGGCTCAACGCCTCTTACCGGGCTGGATAGGTGACATGCTGTGATATTTGCCAACAGGTCATCAAGGATTCTTGATTCCTAATTATTCAACATTCAAAGCAACCCGGATTCTTCTCTTCTTTTCCGTCCACTCCACCCAGGGCTGAACCCTTGATCTTTCGCGATGCGGGTGGGGACTTGTACTTTTACGTGCACGTTCTCCTAAGGCATGACTCACAGGGGTGCAGTCAGGAAGTGACGCCTCCTTCTGAGATACTGCTTTGCACCTGCCTTCTGTTGGTGGACTTTGAGGCTTGTGGCCTGATGCATTGGCCCCGGGCTATGACTTCTCTTCTGCTCTCCCTTGTCCTTCTTCCGTGACTCAGAGGTTCCAGAAAGGACAACTCTGTTGCCTTGTTCTGGCCCTCTCGTATGCCTTGTGTTGCCGTCGTGTTCCTAGCTGCCGTTCTTCCAGCTGTCATAATCCTCTTCCAAGTAGCTGTTCTTTTTTTTAAACAAAAAATTATTTAAATAAAAAAAATAAAAGGAATACAAAGCAAATAATAATAACAATAATAACCATTCAAGGAATACAAACCTGGAAAAAAACCCATCTTAAACACAAGAGCAAAATAGATGATATAATTACACAGTGTGTCCCTCCACCCAGGACCATTTGGAGATATATTAAGTTGATTCCTTCCACCACCACCACCCCCAATTTACGAAGCCCCATTCACCTACCCAAACCACACTAAATCTTGTGAAACTACACAACCCTCTCCTTTCGTTAATTCATCAATCAAACAGGTAGCTATTCTGAAGGTAAAGAGTTCCCAGAGGAGTCGGCTGCTGGCGGCTTCCATAGCTGGAACAGACCATGATCAGAAACTTGGAAGTAGCTGAATAGGAGACGGCTTTGACCGAAGATATAAAAGAAAATCCAACAACACTCCAAACCCTTGATAAAGTTAATAATTTTGGAGTTCCTCGTCCATCTGTTCTTCTCCCTCTGAAGTCCATGTGTAAATCAAAAACACCCTTCCATTTTTTCAGTTCAACACATTTTGTAATCTGTCTGGGAACTTGCCTGAATAAAAGCTGCTCTCTCTGGCTGGCCGGGTTGCCGGGAACGGAGCCCAAAACTTTCAGGAACCCCTCCAGGAATTGAGAAGAAAGACCTCACTGTTCGCGTAAGCTACCTAAGCAAACGGGAGAGAGGATCCTAGCGGTCCCTTTGCCGAATCTTGGTGGGAACATCCCGAGCCAGGCTTACGAGTGCCTCTCCATTCTGCAGTGTGAACTGATGTCTTGTACATGATCACATAGTTGCTTCAGTTCCCACTTCACAGTGGCGTGTGCATTTATTTCTTTACTTCCCAGCCAGTCTCTGGGGCTGTGTATGTTGACTATGAAGGTATTCTTATTTTTAACTTTAAAAAAAAGTCTCATACGAGAAAGGGGCACTGGGGTGCTCTCAGCTTGTGCTATTGGTTCAGCATTGGCTGATCTCAGGCCTAAGGCAAATGAGCTGCTTCTGTGGCACTAATGCTAGGTGACCTGCAGAAAAGTATTACAGCAAAAAGGGATACGTGGCTTAGAGAACTGGTACGGAACTGGTACTTCAGCTTCCACGGTATCGTTTATGTCTACCACAGAGGTCCATTCCCTAACTTGCAAGTTCTGGCTATGCTCACCCAGCTGTAAGTGAAACGTAGCTTTTGCTCATAGAGACTCTGTTTCTTCCTACATGTTGGCAGTGTCTGGTGAGCATAGAGATTCTGCTCATAGAGATTCTGTTTCTTCCTACATGTTGGCAGTGTCTTAAATCCGATTCCATGTGTGTTGGTAAGCAGATGTTAGAGTTGAGGAAATTGTACCCATCGCTGCTGTTCCTTCTCACTTAAACAGGCTGTACCCCTGTTAAAAACCAGAGCTAAAAACCAACCTGGTCAAACTTTGTTGATCAAGAAGTTGCGATTACATGAATTGTTTGACTCACTGCTGTTTAGCTGTGATGTTGTTCTTGAAACCACAGAACCTCTGTCCACAGAGAAGCGACGATCTTGTGCCGCTGAGCACAAGGGTTATTTCCTTTCTCAGAAGACCTGTTGCTAGCGCCTACACACAGAATACTGCCTCATTAAACTGCAATGGAAGTAGTGCTGGGCCTGGAACGAGGTGGAAGTTTGAATCCTCTCTCAGGTTGCTGGTCTTGCGCAAAGTACCAGCTCACCAATTTGCAGAGCTGCGAAGGTGATGGAGAAGAAAATTCTATATCTGTGTTCCTTGGGTGAGGGCCAAGAATAGAAATGGAACAAATAGATAAACTTAGCAAGTGAAGATTTGGAAAATATTGGTAAATGAAAAAGGCCGCGCCAAAGAACAGGGAGACTGCCCTCCGTGATTTCCCTTTATAGGCAGGGATTCGTGAAGGAAAAAGCAAGGAAAATTAAAAGATTGCAAAGTTTTGGAACGAGGGCAAAGCACAGATGCTTGCTCCCATAGAAGTGGCTGCGTAGGAGCCCTGAAGTTTGTTCTGTTTGCGTCCATGTGAATGCAGCCGGTTTGGAAGGCCTCCTGCTGCCGGCGGCCAGATGGCTGTAGATCAGACGCAGACCCCCCCCTGCCACCTCCGAGCTGCAGCCTGGTTCGCTTTGCACAGCCTGAAATTGTCTGGCGTGTCGGTGCTGCTGTGTCTGAGATTTCCATGGGTTGTGAAGCCGGGAGTGGGGAACTGCGTTCCAGAAGACGGCCATATAAAGCCGGTCTCCAG